TTTGATCCACATGTTATTTTACTGCTTGATGTTATGTGCATTTTATTGGTGCTGTAGTTATTTTTTCCAGGCTAGAAATGAATTTACTTGTTATTGTGCATGTTATTGCCATTCTCTCTTTCACGTCTGCCATGGTTTGAGTGAAGAAGTTCTTCCTCAACTCAGTGCGAAAGGGCTGCCTCCGATTTTAAAGTTGTGACCCCTGGTTTTAGTTTCTCCAACCGGGGGACACAATCTTCCACTATCTACTCTATCATGCCCTTTGATGATCTTATAGTTTTCTATAAGATCCCCTCTAATTTTTCTATATTCTAGAGAATATAGGCCCAAATTGGTCAGCCTATCCTCGTAACTCATCCCCTTCATCTCTGGTACTAACCGAGTAAATCTATGCTGCACCCCCTCCAAGGCAAGTACATCCTTCCTTAAATAAGGAGACCAAAACTGCACACAGTATTCCAGGTGTGGTCTCACGAGGGCCCTATAGAGTTGCAGCAAGACTTTCCTACTCTTATCCTCTAATCCTTTCATAATGAATGCTAACATACCGTTCGCCTTCCTAATTGCTGCTGCACCTGCAGACTAACTTTCTGTGATTGGTGTACAAGGACACCCAAGTCCCTCTGGACGCTAACACATTCCAATCTCTCCCTTCTAAAAAATAACCCGCTTTACTGATTTTGCTACCCAGGTGGATGACTTCGCACTTCCCTACATTATACTTCATCTGCCAACTACCTACCCAATCACCTAACCTATCTATGTCGCGCTGCATTTTTTTAATGTCGTCCTCTGTGTTGGCACTTCCTCCTAGTTTTGTGTCATCAGCGAATTTAGATATATTAACTTTGATGTCCTCATCTAGATCGTTGATGTAGATGGCAAATAGCTGAGGCCCAAGGACTGATCCTTGTGGCACTCCACTAGTCACATCCCGCCAATCTGAAAAGGACCCGTTTATCCCTACTCTTTGTTTCCTACCCGTTAACCATTCCCCAATCCACGTTAATATGCTCCCCCAATTCCATGGGCCCTTATCTTTTGGACTAACCTTTTATGCGGCACCTTATCGAATGCCTTCTGGAAGTCCAAATCGACCACATCCACTGATTCACCCGTATCTCGTTTACTGGAAATATCCTCAAAAAACGCTATGAGATTTGTCAAACATGACTTTCCTTTTGTGAAGCCATGTTGACTTGGCCTAATTACATTGTGTTCCCCTAAATACCGCACTAGCACATCCTTAATCAATTATTCTAAATTTTTTTCTATCACTGATGTGAGACTAACTGGCCTATAGTTCCCCATCTTTTCCTTTCCACCTTTTTTGTGGAGTCCTGTAGCTTAGTGGTTAGAGCACTCGCTTTGCAAGCGAAAGACCTGAGTTCAATTCCAGGCAGAGGGCGAAACCTCGGGCAAGTTTCCTTACTCCACACAGAGCGTAATATTAATCCCTCCAAAACCAAAAACAATAATAAATTGGTCATTTTCAATCTACGACTGTGTGTGGGACATTGCTGTGCGCAATTGGCTGCCGCGTTTGCCCACAAATATACAGTCAATTCACTTTACAGTATATTCTGTGAAGCGCTTTGAGACATCTAGAAGATGTGAAAAACGCTATATCAAATGCAAGGATTATTATTATTATTTTTTAAATAGTGGTGTGACATTTGCGATCTTTGAGATATCTTGATGAATTGATAAGGCAAATGCAAGGCTTATCATTATACTGTATTATATTATAGATCTATACTGGGGAAGTAAACAGTCTGTTTTCTAGTGCAGGACAACCCTGTTATAACTTGAGGTTTCAGATTCAAAACAATTAATCTGGGTTGTTCGGTTGTCTATGGCATCACTTCCTCTGCATTGCGTAGGAAATTGTAAACCACAAACAACAATTTACACTTCAATATAGTACTACATTGTTGGAGATGCCGTTTTTCAGGTGACACTCGAGTCTAACGCCCTAACCATCTGTTTAGGTGAATGTTAAAGATTTCAAAGGACTTCAAAAAGACGAAACATTTTTCTAGTTTTCTGGCCAAAAATACCCCAGATAAAATGTGTCATTTACTTCATGGGATACATTTGTGCACAAAAACTGGCTGCCACATTTGCCTACAAACTACACAGTCACAGTACTTTACAGTAAAATCTCGACACTTCTTGACAATCTTTTTTTATAGTAACAAACCTTCAAAGCTGTTTGCAGGATTAGTTGTGTGAAAATTGGCTGCTGTGTTTGTCTACAGTATACTTGATTGGCTGTTAAGTTTGTCTAAAATATACTTGACAGTTGAAAAAAATACACTTGACCACAATTTCCTGTGAGATGTTTTGCAATACCGTGTTATACGTTATTTGTGCTATTCCAAAGTAAAGGATTCTTATTAATTTGCAGTATTTTGTACTAGAATACCTCAATAATATATCCCTTTAGAATCTGATCGATCTGTGGGAATTAAACTGTTCATCAGGTTGGAGAATCCTCAATTTGCATCAGTTTTTTTCTTTCCCTCTCTCAAAGGAAAGCCATTTCCAGCATATCTATTGCATTACTGAGCACAATTATGGAAGAAATAGCTTTACATATCCTTTGGGCGATTGTTTAATAAACTGCACGGTCCTCACTGGCTAGTCACCGACCCAAATGAGTCAGTTCCACTGACAGTGGAACAGGTTTTCCAAGGCAAATAAACTGTCGATGTTCCCAAATAAAGATATGCACTGAAGAGAAGGATAAAGTTGACTACAGTAGCCTCCCTCTGAAGTGTACTTGTCAGCACACAGGCAGTTTGTTGGTGGAGTTGAGTCTTGAGTGTTTATGGAACAGCTCAGGCAAATGATCATGGAAAATCAACAGATAGTTTAACACTGTCTTCAAGCCCTCCCTTCTCACAGGAATCACTGAGTAATGGAACTTTACTGTTTGCTAGTTTGGTGTATTTTTTAATGATCAGATTTGTTCTTGATCTCAACATGTTATATATTTTATTAACTAGAGTTAAATAAATTAATGATTTGATTAGATTGAATCTTATCAGACTATCGACCCAAGTTGAAGTATTAATTAATATACTGAATACTAATGAAAATTCATGCAAATCCAATCTAGCCTGTCCCCAACTCAAATGAATGATTAACGTTGTATCTGGAAACACAAGGTCCTGAACGCTTCTGAGATACAACAACAACTTGCATTTATATAGCAGCCTTCATATAGGGTAACATCTCTGAGTTTTGTACAAGGATGGAGTTGGATGTAGAGAGAGGTCTCCTTGGAGCTGAACTGGCTCTTCGGTGACATGTCTGGCAATGGAATGTCGGAATCGAGACAGCCCTCTGTGGTGCTCTCCAGTCCGGTTCCTGAGCCATGCAGTGAGGATTGTTAGTCAGGGCACTGAGAGAAACATTCCTTTTCTTCTCAAAAAGCATGAAGACATCCAGCGAAATAGGTAGAGAGGATCACAGTTTAGCTATTGTGTCTGAAGAGCAGCACTTTCCCACAGTGCAGCAGTTTTGACTATGGCTGAATGTGGTTTGGACCCACAGGGTGTGACCCAACAGGAGATTGCTAACTAACTGAGCCACACTGACAGAGACATGACACAGCATGAAATACAGCAGATTGACAAAAGTCGCCACCCACTCCCCCCAGGGAAAATTCAGCTCGGTGTTTGTGGGAATCCACAAAGCAAATGGAGCTTGCAAGAGAGAACAGAATTGATCAATCAAAGGTAGATCAAGCAAAGTGCCAGAGGTTGCTCCCTGTAGAATTTTTTTTCTTAAACTCCATCCCAGAGCCTACCACCTTATCCCCTTCCTTGCCTCCTTCAAAGCCGGCCTCAAGACATTTCTCATTGATCGTACCTTCAGTCATCCTCTCACTTCCATCCCTCTGTACTCCAAACCCCCAGCTCAGGGGCAATGTCTTCTCTATCCAACTCATTGGAATGTCCTTCTGACCATGAAAGGTGCTATACAAATGCAATTTGTTATTAATAATAATCCTTTTCAAAGAGCTGGCACAGACACAATGGGCGGAATGGCCTCCTTCTGTGCTGTATAATTCTATTTTCTATGATTGTATGAATCCTCGCACCTTACCATCTTGGAATGACGTCTCAAAGAGCTTTGCAGGATTTACTGTAAAGTGGATTGACTGTTTATTTGTAGGTAATAATAATAATTAATCTTGCATTTGATATAGCGCTTTTCACGTCGGGAGGACGTCCCAAAGCGCTTCACAGAACACACTGTAAAGTGAATTGACTGTATATTTGTGGGCGAACGCGGCAGCCAATTGCGCACAGCGATGTCCCACAAACAGTCGTAGATTGAAAATGACCAATTTATTATTGTTTTTGGTTTTGGAGGATTATTATTAGGCTCTGTGTGGAGTAAGGAAACTTGCCCGAGGTTTCGCCGGGAATTGAACTCAGGTCTCTCACTTGCAAAATGAGCGCTCTAACCACTGATCTACTGGACTCCACAACAGGTAAACAGGTAGGTAGGTATTTGTGGCAGACAGTTGCGCACAGCGATGTCCCACAAACAGCCACGAAACGAGTGACCAATTTTATTCAAGTGGTTTTGTTGGCCAGGACAGCGCGAGAAACTCTTTCTCTTTTCGAATAGTGCCACGTGATGTTAACATCCACCTGGGTTTAACGTCTCATCCGAAGGACGGCACCTCCGACAATGCAACCCCCTCCCACCCCCCCCCCCGACCCACCCGCCACCAGTGCTGCATTGGGAGACGCCCTCCCGACGTGAAAGGCGCGATACAAATATAATTATTGTATCGTGTTGTCGGCTTAGACAACGTGAATTCAAGTCCTGGCGTGGGATTTGAACCCACAACCTTATTTATTGCTGTTGTGGTTGAATGGATTTCTGTTTCCAGACTCGGGATGAACCTGGAAACTCGGTTCAGGACGTGGCAATGGCCAGTTTCCAGGGAAGAGGAAGTGCACTTCCCAGAAGGCGGAGTTATTATGCTCTGTGTCTCGCTCTCTCTCTCAGGCACAGACTTGGGTGTGGCAGTCACTGGGGATCCTCAGCCTCAGCTGCTGATATCTCACCAGGACCTGACTGGGCAGAGTGCAGGGCACAGGCTGGTGAGGGCGGTTACTGTAAGGTTAAACGTTTAAACAAACAGTTTAGTGTGAGGGTAAGATGGAGGGGGAGAGACAGAGAGAGAGACAGAGAGAGAGAGAGAGAGAAAACAAAACAAGGAAGGAGGGGGGGAAGGGGGAAGAGAAAGAGGGAAAGAGAAAGAAAGATCGTGTGTGAGAGAGAGAGAGAGAGAGAACAAGGGAATGAAAGAGAAAACGGAGGGAAGAGAGAGAGAGAACGATGGGACAGAGAGAAAGAAGTAAAAAGAGTAAACGAGAGAGGGAGAGTGAGAGAGGAGAGAGAGAGAGAGAGAGAAAGAAAGAAAGAGAGAGACTCAGTTACATGATGTGAAGAGGAGGCAGTGCTGAACGTGGCCCCATTTTAAACCGTTAGCTTTAGTTTGTGTGTCGGTGGAGGTGAGACTGGAGCTCAGCCCCACAGCTGCCCACCCTGGACTTGGCTAACTTGTTGTTGTTGTGTTTGCAGGGAGTGTGTTGCAGTTGCTATAAACCATGGCATCAGATCTCAGGGTAAGTTACACAACTTTTGAAAGGAGGGAAACTTTCAGTGGGATCTCAGTGAAGAAATTGCAGATGTGACTATGTTGAAATGTTTTTATTTTGGCTTTTCTGATCAAATAGGATATGACTTACTCTCTGAGTTAACGGCGCTGTACAAATGTAATCTTGTTGTTGTTACAGCGTCTCTGAGTCGCTAACTCTGTGTGACCAGCGCAAGTTGTTGTTGTTGTTGTTGTTGCCCACGGCATGGAAACAACTAATGACATTCTGAACATCTGTGATCAGCGCTCCCTCTGCCTCCTTGTCCTCCTCGATCTCTCTGCCGCCTTCGACAGTGTTGACCACTCCATCCTCATGCACCGCCTCTCTTAATCTTCGCAGACCAGCCCTTGCCTGGTTCAATTTCTATCTCTCTCACGTCTCCACTTCGTTGTCTCTAACGGTTTCTCCTCCAGCCCCCGCACTGTCACGTCTGGCGTCCCCCAGGGCTCTGTCCTTGTCTCCTCTTTACTATCTATATGCTCCCCCTCGGTGACATCATCCGCAGACATGGGGTCAACTTCCACATGTATTCGGATGACACCCAACTCTATCTTTCTGCCCCCACCCTCAACTCCAGGACACTGCTGTCCTGACAGACTGTCTGTCGGACATCAAGTCCTGGATGAGGGCAAACTTCCTACAGTTGAATGTGAACAAGACTAAGGCCCTCCTGATTGGCTCACGCCAGCGCCTCCGCACCTCAGGCTCTGGCAGCATCAACCTCCATGGTCGCACACTTCAACTCACCAACTCACCAGCCAGTCAGGAACCTCGGTGTCTTGTTCGACCCTCAACTGTCTTTTCTCCCACATATCCAAGCCATGACCCGCTCTGCCTTCCCACACCTCCGTAACATTGCCCGACTCCACCACTCCCTCACCCCTCAGGCGCTGAAACTCTTGTTCATGCTTTCATCACCTCCAGGCTCGACTATGCAAATGCCTGCGTGTCGGCCTTCCCAACTCCTCCCTCCATAGACTGCAGATAATCCAGAACTCTGCAGCCCGTGTCCTCTCATGCACCAAACTCTGTGACCCCATCTCCCTCGCCCGATTCCACTGGCTCTCTATCCTTCAGAGGATCCAGTTCAAGATCCTGGTCCTCACCTACAAAGCCCTCCATGGCCTCGCCCCACCATACCTCTGCCACCTCCTAACCCCCTACCAACCTACCCGTTCCCTCCCCTCAGCCGGCTCTGGCTGCTCCACGTCCCCTGCCCCACCCGCCCCACCATTGGTGGGAAAGCCTTCAGCCACTCTGCCCCCAACCTTTGGAATTCCATTCCCCAGTCACTCCGCCTTAGCCTCCTTCCCGCCTCAAGACCCTCCTCTTCGACCGTGCCATTGGTCACCCCCCTTTCCCCTCCCCCACTTCCCTCCCCCCCCCCCACCCTCAGCTCGGGTCTGAAATGCTGTCACTGTCCAGTGCCTTGGGACGTCCTCCCAACATGAAAGGCGCTATACACATGTAATCTTGTTGTTGTTGATGATGATGATGAATGCTTACAATCATGTGAGTTTGAGTGCATTCCTCCCCCTTCTCCACCCCTCATAGTTTTATTAGGAAATGCAGCTGTAGATGGCCTTTTTTAAAAAAAAGCAATGAATGGGTGGAAATGTTGAACTGATTTCAAGTTGCTGGAGAAAGCCAGAGAAAAACTTTAACCAAACAGGATACAAGTATATGACTGGAGTTCGGTTTCTGAGAATATTGGCTCACAGCTCGTTTCCTCATTGGGTTACCGTGGCTTTTTGTAATCTAAAAATATACAGTTCTGTTTGATTACAACTGTGCTGGTGTTTTTGCAGTTTTTTGCCTTCTGATAAGCGTGTGGGATGGTTTTGGCTGCAATGCTTTATTTTCTCCACAAATGTTGCTTTGTAATGGCAAAAAGTTCAGGCTTTTTAATTCCCTTCAGTGAGCTGCAAGATTTACTGTCCAAGCAAATCACCAAAACCCACCTGTTAGGATCATCTGCCGAACTGGAGATGTCCTTGAAAATGGAGGTGTTGCTCTTAGGGCTATAATTAATATGTAATTTAATTTCTAAACAAATGGTGCACTGCTGTAAGATTACCTTCTAGGGTTGTTGTATCATCATGATGGTTTTAGGTTCTGACTTCAGAAAGTTTAACAACAACAAATTACATTTGTACGGCGCCTTCTATGTTGGGAGGATGTCCCAAGGTCCTAGACAGTCAGGGATTTGGCCCTGAGCTGGGGGTTGGGATCAGGAGGGTAGGAGGGTGGGGGTAGGAAGGTGACCAAAGGAGCGGTCGAAGAGGAAGGTTTTGAGATGGACCTTTGGAGGGAATAAGGCAAAGAGATTGTGGGATAGAGTTCCAAAGGCTGGGGGCAGAGAGGCTGAAGGACTTCCTGCTGATGGTGGGGCCGGCTGGGTGGAGGGCATGGAGCAGGCTAAGCAGAGGGAGCGTGCAGGTTTTTATGAAGTTTGATGTTTTAAAGGTTGGTTTTCATCGTTTGCATTTTGTTCGTTTCATGATTCTTTGTGTCTCAACAACAACAACTTGCATTTATATAGTGCTCTTCACATAAGGTAATATCTTGGAGTGCTTCAGTGGTGCGGTTGGATGCTGATTAAGAGAGAAGGGGGAGCTGACCATAGCAGTCGATTATATGGGTTTAAGGTGGGATTTAAAGAGCAGCTTTTGCTTTAATTTAGCCAGGCAAAAAGGAAACCAAATAGTTGACTGCTTTCCACAACTGTAAAATAAGCCGGCAGATGAAGTCATTGTAAAAGACTCTGAAATCAGACACTTACAAACATGAGCTACAAGCAACGATTTGATAAACTAGGGCTCTTCAGTCTTGAAAAGACAATAACTAATAGGGGGACTTCATAGAGGAGTGTAACATTTTAAATGGGATTGTAAAAGCAAACCCAAATCAATACTTCAGGATGCACCAAAACAGTTGAACAAGAGGACATAGGGTTAGAGGTATACAGCGCAATTTCAGGACAAAGTTAATTAATGACGACCAAGTTGCCAGGAAGGGTGGTTGGGGGAGTCAGCACTGGACTCAGTTTGATGCAGGGATTGTGGATCAGTAGGGTGGGTGTTCTGGAAAAATGAGATCAGATGGGAGGAAGTTTTTTTTTCATCCAAACTGATCTTGTGATCATTTTCACTTCTGCTCGCAGATGTTAGTGGGCGCAGTGACTGAAGCCTCAGCCACTGAACGGCAGTGCAGGGGTGGTGGGGGATGTGCCAGTTAGCCATGTAGGGGGGGGGCGAGCAGAGAAGAAATGAGTAAATACAAAGAGTTGATTTTATTATGTTTGTAAGTGTCTGGAATTTCGGAGTCTTAACAATGGCTTTCTCTGCCATCTGATATTCTGTTCAAAGTCTTCAGCTGTTTTTCTTTTTGAATGTTTTGAGTACCTGTTGAGATCTGGCTGTTCATCTGGTTTGCAGCAATTTACGTTTGTCTTCTTTCTCCTGAAATGAACGCTGTGGGAATTATGTATGTTGCATCTTTCAAATGTGGCACAACAGACCTACAAAGTGTCCACTGGAGAAATAAAACAAACCTTACCAATAAGTGACGAAGATGTCGGGAAGCCAATTAAGTATTTATAACAAGTAACTTGTTTGAAAACTGTTTACAAAGCAAGTCTGCACATGAATGTTTGCGTGTAGAATTTTTCTAAAGAAGTCTCTTTTTTTACTCTATCTCACATATACATACACACTAGTTTCTGGATTGTGCTGAGTGCTGATGTCAGTGTTTCTCTTTCCTCCCGCCCATAGGGTACATATAGTTCTTCACAGTGAGTCAGAAAGCTTTGTAAGGCTGGCTTGCCAGTATCTCTGACTTTCATTGTTGGAAAGGTTTATGGAATAGCTCTGTTGGCTCCTGGTACTGGAGTACGATCTATTCTAATCCACTTTGAGGGACGGAAAAGGTGTGCTGTCATTGTTTAATCTTTTGAACACGGCAGATCTGACACAAAGCATATTAGCATCTAGTAAATGTTTTCAGTTTAATACGTCACCTGAATCAAATTGCTAAATCATACTCCATGGCAACTGTTTGTGTTTAATACTTTGCTTTTCCAAAAGAACGGCCCTATAGCGAGTTCTCTATATTTTAAAAAAGATTGCTTGCAATCTTAAAAAAATCTTCTTGTTCCTTAACCACTTCGCCGGTGCTATATATAAATGCAAATTGTTGTACGTTTTTTGGCTACAATGTGCAAGTAAGGGAGTTCGGTATATTCATGAGTTAATAATCCATATCATGTGCCAAAATGAACAGATGGTTCACCCCACCCAATCCAAGTTGGGGAAGTGTAACATTCTGTTAACTTTGGCACTTGCAGTATTGCTCTTTCTGACTTAAAGGTATATAATTTTTTTAAAAAATACTAAATTGAGGCCTGTAACAGAAATGCTCAAAAGCTTCCTTTAATTTCCTGTGGACTAGTTGGACAAACTGCAGATTATAGATCATTTTTTAAGTAGAATATCTGCTAAATTGGCTTTCTGTAAACACCTTGTTGGTGTTTGATTTTCTGAATTGAATAACAACACCAACAACAACAAAATTACATTTGTATAGCGCCTTTCATGTTAGGAGGACGTCCCAATAAGAGGATTGGGACTTCTTATACAAAGTTAGGAAGGGGGAGAGGAGGGATATATTGAGAGAAAGAGAGAGAGAGAGAAACTTGAAGTGTGAGGGCAAGATTCCAAAGTAAAATAAGTCTCAAATAGAACTTTGTCGTTAGCTCTCATATCTCTGAGTTAGAAGGTTGTGAGTTCAAGCCCCAGGTCGGGACTTGGAACTCATATAGTCTCCGCTGACACTTCAGTGCAGTCCTGGGGATCTGCTGCTGTGCAGACTTTAAAATGAATTCATGTCTGTCTGTCCAAATGGACATTAAAGATCTCATGCCAATATTCAAAAAGGGAGTCCTCTCAATGTTCTGGACAATAAAATTGGTTATTCACTTTTTGGCTGTGTGCAAGTTGACTGTTGCAATTGCTACACTTCGCATAATTAGCTATGAAATGCTTTGAGACATTCCCCCTCCACCCCCCGAAAGGAGCTACTGTATATTAAATGCCGAGATTATTATAATACCGTGACCCAGTTAAGAATAACTTCACTCATGAGTCCTGTAGTATCAGATACTTGCAAGAAGCTTGAAACCACTGTTAAAATCATCTATATTTTACATCTGGAATGAATTACTGTGGCGCGATTCTCCACACCCTAACTACTAGAAATCATAAAGGTTTTTTTCTCCTTCTCACATTCACTCCCAAGTAAAGCTGTTGATGGCTTTGCATCTTGAATCTCTTACGACAGTATTTTGATAGAACTCGCTGTAGGATTATTTGGTCTGTGGTGAAATAATGGCATTATGACTCATTCATATACATCTACCCCATCTTGTATCATGACAGTTTTGTTTCAGTACAGTAAATATCTGGAATAAGATCCTTAACCAGGATATTAACCCTTTCTTAGCATTCTTGAATGTTGTTAGTCTATCTCCATTGTAGAAGCAAGAAGATGGTAACCGAGGCAGTGAACACCAAAGAATACATTGAATTGGAAAAATGCTTCTAAAACAGCCGGCATAGTAACAACTGGGTTGTGTAAACATCAGCAATGTCTGCCCTCCCCCCGCCCCCATTAAAGTTGGCAGATTTCAGCAATGGGAAACTTTTCTGAGAGGGAGGGGAGAGAGTAGCCTTTATATAAGATAGGAATCATACTCTTTTGATTTAATGCACTACAGTGCAATGGGTCCAGCTGAAATTTGCCAACAAATAATCACTGCCCTTCACAATAATTGCTATGAAGCAATGGCTGTGCGCAATTGGCTGCTGTGTTTCGCCCACAAAATACACAGTTCACTTTACAGGATATTCTGTGAAGCGCTTTGAAACGTCTCAAAGACGTGATAATGCACTATATCAAATGCAAGGATTATTATTACGAAACATTCAATGCGGTGAGGTACTATATCAAACGTATGTATTATGGGCAAAGGATCAGAAGTAAAGTAAACCCTAAATCTGGCTCTTCCTGCATTTGAATAGTCATGCATCAACATTTCCATAAGGGGAAATTATAGATCTCTCTCTCACCATTTAGTTCAGTAACTTATCATTATCCGAGATAGGGAGACTCGTCTTTTTAACCCAATGTTCAGATGTTGCTTACAGTGAGTTGGTTATAAACTATTTCCTATACTGAATTTTCTGGTTTAGTTGCAGATATAAGTTACTTGGCTAAATTCTGATAGCTGTCATTTCATTGATTATGGCTAGAGCCCTGTGAAATTCTGTTATTTTACATTTAAATTTGTTTATTTTTTCGGACTTTGTGTTATTTTATCCATTAAAAATGTTTTCTCTTTATGACATTTACATCAATACAATACCTCAAATGACCATATATAAATAAAAAACAGGATAAATCTCAGTTTAACCTAACATATTGCCTATACCGTCAATTCACTTACGGTATATTCTGTGAAGCACTTTGAGACGTCTCGAAGACATGATAAGGCGCTATATCAAATGGAAGGATTATTATTATTATAACAAAACATACAAATAATCATATAGGAAAAGTACAAACTTTAACCGGGACTTTCTGCCGATTATAAGATAGTGGGCAGCTTTGGGTAGAGGCTGAGGCCAGTCTAGTTAATGGCTGCTGCTTCCTCCTCTACAACTGCCATCACCAACTGCAGAATTTTCCAGAAACCACTTGCACTACCCCCAACAACGGTCGTAACACATGCCCACCATTGGCTTGCTCGACCCCAGGCCACATGCCAAGGTCCACTGCAAAGCAATCGCTGTTGGGTCACAGTGTTGGCTCGTTGCCCACAGCCCTCCTTCTCTCAGGTCAGTGACCATCTGCACTATCACCTCCGATTGATCCACACCCCGTGACCTCATTCTCTCTCCTACTCCGTGAAACATAAAAATAATTGGGTCATTCAATCACGACTGTTTGTGGGGTCGCCGCTGTGCACAATTGGCTGCTGTGTTTTCCCACAAATACAGTCAATTCACTTTACAGTATATTCTGTGAAATGCTTTAAGGTGCTTTATCAAACTGAAGAATTATTATTATAAACATATACGTTTTCATTTTTTGTGTTATTTTGTGAAAAACGGGGCTGTAATTATGGCAAATATACATATCAGTTTAATTTAAGTCCTTGTTCTGAGATGCACTGTTGTTCAGATGGATCAGATTAACGATACACAAGAGGAGCAAAGAGATCAAATTGTTTTCGTGCCGTTGGTTATTGCCTGAGCCTTGTAAAATTGGATGAGTAACTTCATTTTGTAGAATCACTTGGGGGAGACGGAGGCTGAAGGCTATTGTAGTACAAGTGAACTAAAACAATGTTCAATGTTTGTTCAGCAATTGTTTGCAAACTACTTGAGTCTGAATTCAGATAAGAATAGTTTCGGAGTCATTTAATCCTCCAGTCAAAGGTTTACATTGTATTATGAGAAATGGAATACGCTGCATTCAATACAGTAACATAAATGTGAAACCTCAGCAGGACAGAGTCACTTGATACTGTTCAACAGTACCATCTGATCGTCAGTATCATCTGAAAAGTTATCAAGAGTGGAAGCTCTTGGATTAACCCCTTCCCCTCCAAACTCCCTCAAGCACTACAATTACTAAGCAAGCCAAATCCAAATTTAAAAATTTTAATTTAAAAAAATGTTTCACCCACAAATAGTCATTCCAATTTACAATATACTTTTGCAAGCGCTTTGAGATGTCTCAATGACGTTTTAAGACACTAATATCAAATGCTATTATTATTTAAGCGTTCTGAGATCCCATTCGGCATGAAGGGTACTATATAAATGCAAGTTGTTATTATTATTAATATTATTATTATCATCAATGAACTGGAATGAAAACTGCAGAGGATGATGTTACTCATTATACCATTGGTAGGATCCTAGTTGAAAAGTATTGACTGAGCCTAGAAAAATGTATAGAAATTCTTTTCAAGTGAGAAATAGAAACTAATTGTTTTTCCTCTTTCCCCCCCACCCCCCACCACCCTCTCATTGCAATATGCTGGTAAGGCATCAAGAGGAACCATTAAGGATCATCCAGGCTTTGATGTAAATAATGATTCTGAAGTTCTGAGGAAAGCAATGAAGGGACTTGGCAAGTACTCAACATCATCAAATCTTATGAATTCTCAGTTTGTTTCTAGCCAAATGTTAACGTGCACTGTACCTGTTGCTATTCAAATTTGTAGCAGATATTGTATATTCTTGTTTAACACACATCCTTTCAAACGATTGATTCTTGTTTAAAACTTTTTTGTTGAGAATGACTGTAACAATCGACATGATAAGAAGCTTGGCAATACTATTAAAATGTGGTCGTATATGTCTTTTTATCTTTTAATAAGACTAAAGCTTTACATTTATGTGGCTACAGGTACCGATGAAGATTCCATCATTAATCTTTTGACAAACCGGAGCAGTGCCCAACGCAAGCAGATGTGTAAAGCGTACAAAACTCTGTTTGGCAAGGTAGGCAATGTCCAAAAGTATTCAGAGTTTGCTTTGTGTTTGTTCAGCTGAAATATTGATTAAATTTGTTTTGAAAGTTAATGACTCGTATCTTCTAACAAAAACAGAAAGTCGGGATCTGAAAAAGAAAACAAGTTATCATTTGGACATGTCTGAAATTGGGATAGATTCTTTCAGAAGTTAAGAGAAATGCAATACAATCCAAAATTACATTTGAATAGTGCCTTTCAGGTTGAGAGGACATCTCAAATTTCTTATTCCATCTATTTTCCTTATAGATCTACTCAAAATTTGCTTGCGTAAGATTCCCTTTCCGCAGAGTAATTGATTTTCTCGACCTCTGTTTTCATAATAAAAGGGAAATGAATTGTCAAAATGTAGTTTTAAAGAATCTTTCAATTGCAAGTTCTAAAGCCATTGACGATGTTTCAAAAGTACTGGACCAAACAGAACTGTAGATAAAAAAAAGAAAAGCAACTTCTAAATACTATCATTTTGTCTAGGGAACTTGTTTGTATTATTTGATCACTGTTTGACTGGATAGGCTTATCATTTTAAAAAAAAGTGAATTAATTTTCCCTAAACAACAAATAAAAAAAACATTTGTGTAGCGCCTTCCACGTCAGGAGGACGTCCCACTACAATTAAACATAATTGCAGTGGTCAGAGGAAGGTGCTTAACTCTATTGCTAACTAACCTATTTACTTGTTCAATGACTGCTCTGTTATCCAATACAATTTCTCTTACCAGGATCTGGTTGAGGACCTAAAATCTGAACTGGGTGGGAAATTTGAAAAACTGATTGTTGGAATGATGAAGACTCGCCTTGAGTACGATGTCTCTCAGTTGCGCGATGCACTTAAGGTAAACGTTCTTTATTTTTCTGGAAAAACTTCAGGTATCTGTTTACAGCTTTTCTGTGAAGCAATCAGGCTACAGGCGTGAGGGAGGTGAAGTTTCATTTCTAACTATTTCAGTAGAACGTGACTTGTACTGTTGAAGGTTTATATGTTAACATGGTGGGGTAGGGGTTGGGGAAAGTGGGGGAGGGGATAAAGAGAATGGGTAAACCAGCTGTGGTGGTGATTTTTAGTCTTTACAAACCCAAGTTTCTGCAGTGTTTTGAGTGTTGACACATCTGTTAATCAATGTCAACTGTGCAGTGTAATAATTAGGGCAGAAAAAAGGCTCTGGAGTAAACAATGATCTAAGTGGCAGTTCTATTTCAGGTTTGTTAAATCTGGGAACTTCAGTATGAGGTGGGTGATTTATTCTAAATTCGTCAGTAATAGATTACTTGGGTATCTAAATTACTTAAGTGTCCAGCAGTGAGTCTCCTGATATTTCTTCAATCAGGGATGCTCTTGAACAAGCTGAATTTTTGAAAGATAGTTAAGAAAACATCCACCCAACACTGCTTGAATTCAAATATGCTTGAAGTGTGTTTCACGTGGCAGGAAGCAAGATGGGCTGTTCTCCTGAACCCGTAAAGTGAATCACAAACTGCATGACTGTTAACCACGTGTTCAGTAAAAGTTGTAGTGAAGGGACTGGTTTTGAGTGTTTGGTTCAGGCTAACCATTAACCTTTATGTAATTTAATTTTTTTAGCACAACGCCAGCTGGATAGTACACAGTGACATCATGATCATGTGATTGGTTACATCAATGAATCAGAAATGTTGATTGACAATCTCAGCTTTATTAATGGGATGGAGATTTATATTTCCTCTCTCCCTGACCAACACACTACCACATTTCTAATTGGGCAGCAGTGTGTCTTCTGGACAAATTAGCACAGATCTCAGAATGGCATTGTAACCCAGTTTACATTGTTTATTACGCGAGTGCAATGCTTAAATCCAAATTGGTTACCAGGAAACCAGAGCTTTGTTCCTGTGCCTTGACCTTGGAATTTCCTAGCTGTCTGTTTGCAGTCTTGTGTGACCCAGACAAAGACTGTCCCATTTGTGAAATGATTATGACAGTTTTCTGAGTCTGCCTGACCTCTCTTTAACAGCAGTACCAGTAATGAACGATTGTTCAACAAGAGCTTTATTTACTGCATTGGGAAGTGAATGAGACTCACCTGAAAAATCTCTCCTCTAGGAATAGTGTGCTTTCAATTTCTGCTTCAGTGATTAGTTTTCCAGTGCTCTAAAGCCCTCTACAGAATGATCCTTGGATGATATTCCTTTTCTTGTAATAAAATGACCTTGCCATTAACTTTAGGATGTGATTGCAGTTTTAGCATCCTGGAGTTAAAGATTTGTATGCAAGTAATCTCTAGGATCTCTCCTGTTTCCTTTTTGTCCCTGTTCACTCTTCCTTTCTCACCACCACGTCATTGCATGTCTTTTCGGATAAATATGTTTATGAGCTAAAAATCTCCAAAGAAATTTGAAGGATTCAAACAATGTCATTGAGTTGTTAGCCTACTCTTGTTCTGCTGTGGGCTGTAGTGGAGGTAATTATATAGTCCATGGTTTGTACTTTGGGTTAATCTCTGGCTACTACTGTTTTAAAAAAAATGGATCCATACTTAGTGTCAAGTATGCAAAGGGATTTGGCTTAGTCTTGACGAGCATAACACTGTGTTTTCACCAAGAAGATGTCAAAAACTAAGTGTTAGTTTTAAAAGCTGATCCAGCGTCTAATGCTGCCTCACCAGCAATCTTCAAAGTGGTTTGCTCTTAAAATTTGTATTAATCATTTGTTGTGAGGTGCCGTCCTGCTCTGATGACCATGACTCGAACAATCAACTTAATTGGCTCTAATTCTTTTCCTCTACAGGGAGCAGGAACTAATGAAAAGTGCTTGATTGAAATTCTTGCCTCAAGAACAAATGCGGAAATCCATGAGATCAAAGCCGCTTACAAAGAAGGTAAGACAGAGGTGTTGTGAAAGATTCTCCTCAGAGAATCCCAGATCAAGGTGTTTCATCTCCTCCTTCCCCTCCCCACCCCTCCACTCACACACACATATGTATACCCTTTCCACTCCCACCTCCATTCTAAAGATGGAATGCACTGACAATAACTGAGACCCATATCCCAGTCTAGTTGTCTGAGAGAGTAGCATTAGTTTCATCGTGTACAGGGTCTGTTGTTGCCGGCAAGGGATCAATAATGGAATTCTAACTCTTAGTCTTTCGCTTCTCTTCATCCACCCCACCCCCTTCCCCCAAAGCCCCTCCCAAAAAGCAGTTGTTTCTGCCATCAAATTGAGGATGTATTCTGCTTGGGGTTAATGATTATTAAACTGTCCCATTATACTTATTGGGGTGCAGCCCTGGGACAATACTTGACTTGTTTTTTAGATGTTGTATAAATCTTTCAGTTGGCTGTTCAGGAATTGCACTGCATTTGTTAAGGGCCACATGTTCAGCAGCAAAATCTAAGCCATAAACAAGATAGGAAATTTGAAATGTGAAAGAAGTTCATTATTACCAGAAGTGAGATGCATGTGATTACATCTTAGTAATACCTGGCACTGATTTATTTGAATCCTTTTATCATCAAGAGTATGGCAAGGACTTGGAAGAAGACATAGTCAATGACACCTCTGGCCATTTTGGAAGGATGTTGGTAATTCTCCTCCAGGTAAAAAAAATTAGATGCGATAAGGTGTTAAATCAAATGCAAAGATAATCAATCTCTCAATTCATTTTGTGCTTGTACAACAAAACTCCTTGTAACTCTGCGGTTGACTGTCCACAGCTTGCAGTGCTTGGGAATCTTTGAATCAACAGGAACGTTCAATTTTTTTATGTTCACCCATCCTTCTGTGGACTCGTTTTAAATAAAAACAATGTCCGTGTAAAGCAATGTGGCTTTGAGTCCTTGTGCTTCTACAGTTCGCCACAAGAGGGCGAGACTGAAGTTGGTACGTGGCCAACTCCTGCCGACTGATCACAAGATCAGAAGATTGCATTGGAAGAATGGCTCTCTTGACCCATTTGACCTCATCCTTCCAGACGTCCTCTTGGTTTACTATTGTAGTGCATCTGAATAGTGGTGATGGTGAGCACTACTCATGTCTGCCTATATTGCACAAATGAAGCTTAGATAAATTGAGGTACAACGTATGCATTTGAATAAGCTCAGTCTTGCGTTTTAATTAAATTTGATTTCAAATATCTTTCTTCATTGAGAATGCTTGGAATACTAACTTAACGGAAGTGATTTGAACAAACTGACTTTCACACTATCTTGTACATTGTGTAGTTCAGTTGTCCAGCTGTGAGAAGCTTAGCTGTTAAATTACATTTCTCTCCCGGTTTAGGGCAATCGTGATCAGGGCAGACATACTGAAGAAGCTTCTGTTAAGCAGGATGCTGAGGTTGGTGAAAAAGTTTCAATTATAACTTACTTATGGTTTACAGTAATATTGCTTTATTGCAGTGACCTTGATTTTCTTTGATTTTTCCAAGAATAGTTTGCAAAAGCTAACGTTTCACATTTTGCTATAACATCACTCCTGAGTTTTATAACAAACCTTATTAGGAAAACATTTTCCAGTACTAGGCACTGAAATATGGTTATGAAAAAGTGTTACTAAGACTTGTATCTGGGCCAGAATAATGTGAGTTTAAGCAACATGTTGGGATGTGAATTTATAGTCCACTGTGTGTGTGTGGGCGAGGTGGGGGCGGGGGGGAGTGATGGGGATGGGTTGTCGCAAAAGTTAGAGCTGCATCAATTAAACTGCAGAAAACAGGATGTACATAAAAATATAGCTTAGTACAGAAAAAGTATCTCTGAAATGCAGTTCGAGAAGGAATTCAATGGCCATTTTGCTAAGAACTTTTGAGGTGTATGAGTAATTTAAAACTCTTACCATCAGATTGTCAGATCTCCCATGCGGTTGGTGCTACATTTCGTCTGATCTAGTTAACATTTATAAAGGTAAAAAAAATAGCTTCTCATTTAGTAAAATTTCTGCATCAGGAGCTGTTTCAGGCTGGAGAGTTGCAGTGTGGCACTGATGAGTCGAAGTTTCTCACGATTATTGGGACAAGAAATATTCATCACCTTCGGAAGGGTATGTGCTGATTTTTACAGTGTCTTGTGATTGGCCACTTCAACTGGCAGAAACGTCAAAGTGTCTGAAACTTCTCCTGCTGGTTTAGATGCCTGCAAATGAAGTGTGTGCTGTGGGGAAGTGTAGAGCTCTCTTGTGTAACCAACTTGATAAAGTTTTCTCACTGTATTGCTTTCTTTTTAGTATTTGACCAATACATGAAAATCTCCGGCTATCAAATCGAGGAAAGCATTTCTTCGGAGACATCAGGGAATCTGGCTAATGCATTATTGGCTGTCGGTAAGGAATGTGTGATAAGCATTGTGATTTAATCTGAATTAATCTCGACTGATTTATCTGTGAATTAAACTTCTAGCTCCAAATGCTCAGAGATCAATTGAATTCTTGTGCCCAATTTTAATGATGTGAAGAAATGGCAATCAGAATATTGATGTATATTAAGGATTTTTATTGTCTTTTGTTTATATAAATTGCTGCTTTCTTTTCAGTGAAATGTGTAAGAGATGTCCCTGAGTATTTTGCCGAAAGCCTGCACAATTCCATGAAGGTACTTTAAGAATATTTTTGTAACTACTTCAAGGAACAGCGAGTGTCTTATCATTTCGAACCCTTTATTTTTGTGTGGGCTCCAGTTGGCAGGAAGAACATTTAAGATTCTGTTCTTAGTTTTAAAGGGCCATGCTGTCTTAAAGTAAAGTTGCACCGAGGAAGGTAGGATTGAAACCTGCTGCTGTCTTGTGTTAAATGGGTCAATGGAATGGTACAAGCCCCATGATGGTACTTGGAATCTGTATCATCTAAGCTGACACTCCATTGCCATGCTGCAGGTGTGCTGCGTTGTTGCATCGCTGTCCTTTGGATGAGTTGTTAAACTGAGGCCTTGTTAAAGGTCTCATGACACTATTTGAGTGTTTATCTTGGAGTCCGGGCCAACAATCCCCTAAATAAAATTGATCATGGCTGTTTGTGGGACTTTGCTGTACACAAATTGGCTACTGTATTTGTCCACAAAAAGTCACTACACTTTGCAGTATATCCTGTCACACACCTTGGGATGTCCTTGAGAGGTGGAAGGATTATTATTATTTATTATGTGTGCAGGAAAAACATGCACAATCAGGAATTAAGATGTTGAATTTATTTGACTGGGCATCATTTGAATAAAGCATGAGGCTGAAAATCGTCTGATATATGGGAACCCATTATAGTGTCCTTCAGTATAATGCTACCTCAATAATAAATAATGTGTCTTCTGTGGACCAGTAATGACTAGTCAGTTTCATGTATAAAAAAAGCCAACTTTCAGGTTGTCATAGATCACTGACGTCTCTTCCTGCATACACACTATGTGCAGGAATCACTGTACTCTGAACTATTGGACCCAGACGACTGTTAAAACAAGGTTCTCTTGTATTGAATTAATTTGTGGGTCATCTGTTGGATGATGTTTTAACACTTTTTAAAGAAGACTCTCTTCATTCCGATCGTTAATTTTTGTTGCATGGGTCAGGTTAATGGATTCGAGGAGTCTTTTTACAGGGAGATTTATTGTATTTCTGGGAGTCTAAAAATCTTGTCCCTGTGAAGTGCTACGAGACTTTAGCCTGCGACATGAAGGGTGCCATATAAATACATGTTGTGACCATCAGTAAAATTGCAGCTTGATGAATGTGGTGAATTAGCTGAAGACGATCCCTTCATATTGAAAGTCTTTGGTTTTGTGACTAGGGAGCTGGCACAGATGATGACACTCTGATCAGAATCATGATTTCAAGGAGTGAAGTAGACATGTTGGATATCCGTGAGAAATTCCGTCAGAAGTTTGGAAAATCCCTGTACATTGCGATCAAGGTACGTCCATGCCACAATAATGACAACTTGCCATTTAAACTCTCAGATTTAAATCACCAACTTCTGAGTGGGGAGTAGATGAAGTAAGGGGGAGTAAGTGTATGGAGGAAAGGCAAAGAACATGCTGAATGCATTCCTCTCTCATCTTTCGAATAAATGGAAAGGAAAGTGATACTTTCGCTACAAATGTCCATTTCCTAGATACTGATATAACTTCACTGGAACTGCACAAGAAAATTATTTGTTGGAACAGAGGATTCATTCTGTCCATTCACCCACTTCTGTGCTGTCTGGGGTAATAGTAAGCGTCTTTCTTTTAGGAGCTCAGTGGTTAGAGCACTCGCCTTGCAAGCGAGAGACCTGGATTTGATTCCCGGCAGGGTGAAATCTTGGGCAGGTTTCCTTACTCCACATGTCTTATAATAATCCCTCAAAAAAAACCAGTAATAAATTGGTCATTCTCAATCCATGACTGTTTGTGGGACATTGCTGTGTGCAATTGGCTGCCACGTTTTGCCCACAAAATATGCAGTCAATTCATTTTACAGTATATTCTGTGAAGTTCTTGAGACGTCTAGAAGACCTGAAAAGCGCAATATCAATTGCAAGTATTATTATTATAAATAATATCTCAGAATCCAGTATATAGTTTGGGTCATGACTCCTAGGATGGTGGAAGGTGAACTGCATGGACTTTGGTCTAGCAAATTCTTATGTTCTTAATGCCAAATAAAGGGGAAAATTGGTCCATGAACTGCTGTCACACTCTTCTAAAGTACTAGAATTTTATCTGCTTGCTATATCTGAAAGTGGATGTATTGATTTTGTCAATATAATATCCATGTTTTTAAGAGCTTCGCCATTCTGGACCTTCAGTATCTTTCAAACATTTAAATGAATGTTGTGCTGCAAGCATTTTTTTCTCTTGGAAGAAATTTCATTTCAGAATAGGGAAACTGTGTGCTCATCAGTTATCCCTTATCCCCTTATAATTGTTCTTCCTTCTGTTTCACTTCCCCCCCACCCCCTGCCCACTGTGGTCTCATGTCTCTTAAACTCATCTACAATAGTTGTGTAGGACCCTGGATAGTTCAGAAAAGTTCACTTCTGCTGGAACAAAATATAAATCTGGATTTCATAGTCTCCAAGAATGCTTCGAAACTGCATCCTAGAATTTGTAAATGACACCAATATTTACTCTTTTGCAGAAAGATACTTCGGGTGATTACAGGAATGCTCTTCTAAAACTGTGTGGTGGTGGTGTTGGTGAATAATTTCTTCTGAAGGAGGCAGTTCTGCAAGATTTGAGATTATTGCTGTGTAGAATCATTGATGGCTTTATTATGCAAATACTTCGATGAACAATCTTGTAAAACACATTTTAAGATTTGCTGCTAACGCTTTGCATACTAGCCCCTTTTCAATGTCTATAGTGCTTGCCATTTTGCTGTTGAGATATAAAGGGAATACTTTCTCATAATACATGAAGTCAGTCTGTAGAAATCTGATTCATTCAGACATGAGTTGGACCAATAAGGAGATGAAAGACCAAATGTCTAGGAGAAGTTTATTGAATTGGCAGGAATGTAATTAGTATTAAAACCTAATTCCTGTGATCAAGATTTGATGGATTAAGGACTCTGGTCACTGGTTTTCAGTTGCAATGCCTCCCCTTCCTATGTATAATGTCTCTTATTTTGGTATTACAGTGGTTATGTGGAGAGAATTTTGCAAAACAAACCTCCACACAGAGAGTGTCTATGTACCAGGGGTGGGGGAGAGAGAAAGTTGCAGTAGACTGCTGGAAACATGTGTATCGAGGCACTGTCTTGCTTCACGACTAGTGACCACCATCAGAATACATTGAAGTTGAAGGCCCATACAAGCACTTTTTGGCTAGAGGTTTAAAGACCTAGTAAATTTTGTATATTTGCGTACTAATGCATTTAGCCACTAATATAAAGGCTTAATTGTCCAGCTCCTAAATGTAGACATTGGTAATCATGAAAACAATTTGCGCTTTACATGTATAAGGTATTACTGTAATAAGAGTAACATCAAAAATGTGTTGGCAATGGCTTGTTATGTATCAACCATGGTGCAACCCAAAAAAATTACTGAGAAAATACATCTTTTTTTCAATTTTGAAAATGTTTCTACATTTCTTGCATCTTAAAATAGATGACCAAGTTTGTTTTTAAGTAATCTATTTAGGCTATTTTTATTACATTATTTCATTTTAATACATTACATTTTTATTATGTTAGAGCTCTCATCACTGCCCGCATAACATTTTGGACTGTGTTCAAAAATGGTTTCAGTACTTGAATGGTCAAATTGAGACTCATTAGAGCAATTCAGGTGCCATGTTTTCAAAACCTTCCTTTTCTTTTCCCTTTAGAAAATGTTGGGTAATGTACAGCAAACCCCAATAGTTTTAACATTTTCTCTTATCTGGGTGAGGTATTAAAGTATTAGGAGGTTGGATACCTCGGGCAACACAGTTTGATAAAATGAGAGCCACTAGATGGTGTACTATTGCTCCACAATGATTCACCTTTTCATATACATGGGCAGGATCTTACCACCAGATGGTGGTATTGAAACAGAGACACCAACGTGCATTTATAGTGTTCCTTGCACATTGGAAGGATTTTTCAAAGTACCTCACGTGACAGGTGGGTGAGGGTTGGAGGAACAAGGTTGAGGAGAGAGGTGTTCTTAGGGCTTTGCTTTGCAGGGTTAACAGGAGCTGAGTGGACAGGCCTGTCATCAGCAGTGTTCTAGAGATCTGTAGACCTGCCTGGCTTAGAAACCAGACTCATGAGACTGCCACAAAGGACTGATTCTGTTCTGACAATCCATCGCCAAACAGGTCATATTGAAACCAGTTCAACTGCAAGGTGACCCTGCTTCCTTCCTCCCTCCCCTCCCCTGGCTCATGGAGGATAGTCCCTAGTTGATTATTTGACATCCAAGTGCAGGTTGGATCCCTCACTAGGTGGATGGCAGGTGCCAAGAATCTCCCTGAGAATTTCCTTGTGAGCAGCACAGAGCAGCGCAGAAAGAAATGTGTGAGTCTTGTCATAATCTTGCATGAGGGGCACAATAAATGCAAGTTGTTGTATAGTGAGGAGCTGGCGAGTCTGGTTAGAAGGTGTTGGTAATCAAACCTGATGTGCTGCGGGTATGGAAGAGGATCTCAGCAGCCCGAGGGCTGAGATAGAGGTGGAACTGCCAATGTTGTGAGGTGAGGGAAGAGAGAATGATTAAGAGCTTGGATGTAAGCTCCATGAGGTGGCGCGAGTCTCTGGATAGATCAGTGCCTGAGGTAATGCAGATGCTGACAGGAGCCAAGCAGGAGAGCCGTAATCTGGTGTTTAGAATTCACCACCAAGCTTTTTGTAATCCCTAAATTGACCAATACAGACCTAAGACGCACATGCTCAGGTATTTGAAAGCATAACATTTTATTGTTTTACATTTTTTTTAATCACTGGAGAAGAGGCAAAGACAGCATGATCCAATTCAATTGTGCACTTACACAGACTTGTGTGCTTCTATGTGATGCCATTCCATGCATCCTGTTCAGGAGGATGGGAGTAACATGGATCATGACATCTCGTCAAATTACATAATTTGGAAAATAATCTTTTATTGAAATAACAGAAATGGTCTACTAAAAGTAAGCAAAAGAAAATAAACACAGTTGCAGCTGCATGACATGGTCACAGAAGCAATCTATGGTGCATCTGACATAAAGTCATGCCGAACAGATCGTGGTCTCACTGTTGGAGGACTCATGTTTATATGTATGTTGCTGTCATAGCCATAACAGGTGTCAGCAGGTGGAGGTGCAGGATTGCACATCGGTTCATTTGCGTCATCTCCCTCTTTCAATGTTTTTGGCCCTCCGACACAATTTTCGAGGCTGCAATGAATTACATGACATAACTGGCATTAGGCACACATTAATCCTTTGTACAGGGTACGACTGACCAGGGCAATATACAGTGGAATAGTAATCCTTGCATTTGATAGAATGACCTGTCACATCATCGAGATGTCTCAAAGCCCGACTACTGCTAATCTTTGAGGTGTCCAACAATAGCCCCTTGTGCTATTATAATATTGGCTAAACACAAACCATTTCTAGTCCTTTAAAAAATGGTACTTGAGGGGAAAAAAGAGCATCGGATCAAATCATAAGATTACAAGATCGGTTTAAATGAATTTCCATGTGTGCGTAGCATACATATGTAGAATACTCAGTCTGATTTGGATACTCTTAATCAGAGTATAATAGGTTTCCACATGTGTCAGACACCCGGCCGAACAAAAATAACTCTTCCTTTTTCTTTCAAACTGTGTCATGGTATTCTTAATGCCCACCTAGAATAGTCAAATTTAACATTGGTTTAATGTTTTATGCAAAAGATACCACCTCCGGCAATGCAGCTCTCCCTCACACAGCACTGCATCACTGTGTGTTCATCAGAGGTCTGCCGGGGAAACCACAACCACAGACACTCCACAGCTAATAATCTGACCCACTTAAAAGATTAGGATGAATTAAGATATCTACGAGTGGATAATCAAAGAGATGCGTTCTGTTTATCACGGAGCCTGTATAGAAATAAATACAAATATGGATACTTGAGGAAGAGGTGTCAAGTGATCAGCCGTCTTCGGTGTTTACACATTTGAAGAATGAGAAGACTTACAAATCTGAAATTTGGTAGACAAACTTGGTCCGAGGGCCAGAGTGTGGATCAGTAATCTTCTCCCTGCTTCTCATTGGAACTCTGCAACAGGAGGAAATTAGTCATCGTAAGTAAGTATCATGATTTTATGTAGTTGTCACGGTCTAGGCTTCTCGAATGTTTCTGTAACCTGTTACATCAAGTCATTCCCCTCCAGCGAGTGTGGGGAGTGCACTAACTAACCACGGGTGCAGACAACAAGCTCAGACTAGCTACCAATGGACAATTGGAAGCCTGGATTTCGATATACAATCTCCTTAGGAGGCGAAATTATAATAATGTTGCCAATTGAATGTTTTTCAATTATAATTCAGTAGTTTAATTAAGGAATCTCTAAAAGAATACCAAATAACTGCACAGAATGTAAAAGATTAAGTACAAAACATGAGAGAAAATAAACAAAAGGTTTACCCATAATTCAAAGATGGTTTTAGAAATAAGCTCTTTAAAAAAACACAGATTTTTTTNGGCACAAAATCCTTTTCTTTCCTGCCTTCGAGACGTCTCAAAGCGCTTCACAGAATATACTGGAAAGTGGATTGACTCTATATTTTGTGGGAGAAACACGGCAGCCAATTGCGCACAGCAGCGTCCCACAACCAGTCGTAGATTGAGTGACCAAATTATTTTTTTTATCATTCAATTCGTAAAGTGGACCGCAGCATGACAGACACAGTCTAGTTGGCCCAAATGGCCTGTTTCCGTGCCGTGTATCCGATACAAAATTTGTCATTTGCTGTCCCTTTTTTGATTACACCGTTTTGGCCCTCCGCCACTCTAGTCTGATCAAAGCCAGCTTCGATGAGGTTTATGTTTTCATGTCTTTTTTAAAAGAAAATAGTACATAAGGTTATTTATAAAATTGTCCCAGCAAAATAGCCAGAGACTTGGGAAGTTGATGCATGCAGGTCATCTCACACACTGTGCTGAGCGGAAAGCCAAAAAAAAATAGGCTATTGAAAGTTTGCTTTATCTCCACCAACAGTTTTCCCAAGAAATTAGTGTGCATGCTCATATCTAGCAACTCAAAACTGCTAAACACCCACTCCCAGTACCTCTCCCTCTGTTCTGATGTTATAACAAGTAATTTCCATCCTCAACCAACCCAGAATGTAAGTCGATTGAAATGTTAAGATGATCTGGCAGTATCTGAATATATAAATAGTAATAATAAAATAATAATTATCCTTAAATTTAAAATAGTGCCTTTCATGTCAGAAGAATATGCCAAAGCCCTTCATGGGATATACTGTAATGTAATCCACGACTGTTTGTGGGACACTGCTGTGCGCAATTTGGCTGCCGTGTTTCGCCCACAAATATACAATCAATTCACTTTACAGTATATTCTGTGAAGCGCTTTGTCAGATCTAGAAGACGTGAAAAGCACTATATCAAATGCAAAGTTTTTTTATTATAACAATTGCCCACAAACAATTATGATGTGAATGACCAATTTTTTTTGCGGGATTGTCAGCTAGGACACTGAGAGAAACTCCGGTCTCTTTTCGAATAGTGTCGTGGAATCTTTAACGTCCAAATGAAGAGACAGTCAGGGTCTCGGTTTAACGTCTCATCTAAAGGATGGGATAAACCGTCAAACACAAGAAGATGTGGATGTGAGAATGAAATTTAATTCAGCACATCTAGCTAAACCCTCATACATTATTATTTTAATTGTGTTACTGTCCCAAAGCAGAACAATTGACTAAAGTAAAATTTAAATTCAAAACATTTAATATTTAATTATTATTTAATAAAATATATTTAAATTTTTTAGTAATTTCATATCATCTCTACATAAACCAAACTAAAGTGATATTTTTATCACAATCTTTAAATGTGCTTCACCTCAGATGAAATCTATAATTAAAATTATTTTCCCCTCATTGTCAGAATCGACTGTATTGATGACTTCAACGGAATCTACTTAAAAACCTTTGGGTGACATTGTATTTTTGTTGCTACAGATTACATTAGAACTATGTCCCTGAGGCAGATAAATAATCCTTGCAGTTAAACAGCTCCTTTCACATTCGAAGGATGTCTCAAAGCACATCAAAGGATTTTACTGTAATGTACATTGATTGTGTATTTTGGAGACGAATGTGGCAGGCAATTTGTGCGCAATGATTTTGCACAAAACAATATGAAATGAATGACTAATTTCATCTGGGGGATTGTTGGCCAAAGCACCAGAGAAATTCCCCTCTCTTTTTGAATAGTGTCATGGGATCTTTAACGTGCATCTGCGCAAGCAGACAGGATCTTGGTTTAAGTGTGCTAACACCTGAAGAGCCCTAACTTGTCGAATCATTGCTCTGAGCACATTCTTCTTATACTGGGCAGTTCCCTTATGTTCCCTTATTGCATCACCCAGAACTGTGCGCAATTCTCTAGTGCAGCCTCACCAGAGCACTTTACAGCCTGAGTATGATCTATGGGGATCTGAACTCAACAGATTTGGCAATATAGCCCAGGGTCCTGTTTGCCTTGTTCATTGCTGCCTCAGCTTGTTTTGACATAATGAGCGATGAGTCAACTAAAACACTTAGCTTTTCCCTTGATAAGTTCTATCCCATCCATGGAACTAACTCCTAGGAATAGCACCTGACATTTATCTGTTTTAAACTTCATTTGCCAGTTATCAGCTCATGTGCATACCCTATCCAGCTCTTTGTAGGACCTTTGCTGATTCCATAGTTTGCCTAACATTTTGTCATTGTCAAATTCAACTACCTTATCCTATCACTGGGTCTGTGAATCCAGGTTATTAATATATATGAGGAACAGGAGGGGTCCCATGCCGACCCCTGAGGCATCCCACTTAATACCTCCCCACGTTTTGACCGAGCTCCCCTAACATAGAACTTCTGCTTTCTTCCCTTCAGCCAATGCTGATTCCATGTCTTGCCCTTAAAACCCGATGACCTCAGTTTGTGAAAGTCTTTATTGAAATGAGGATACAATACAATTTGTGCAATGCTAATGTGCCAGAAAGGAGCACTGTATATAACTGTACATGCTAACTATAGCACATCACTGCAATCCAGGCTTGAAGATTGCCCAGAAAGTATACAACATAGTATCTACTCACACAATCTCTATATCTCTCGCAAGCTCCTTCACGCCATGGTGGTTTACTTCTCTGGATGTCACTTTTAAACATTTACATTTTGAATCAATCAGAACTGTTGTCGTTGGCGAAGAGGCTGTGAAGACAGACAAAAGTGATTAAATCTGAGCACTCTTATTATCAAATAGCAAATAGGAGGAAGGCGGTTGGTTTCAATATGTATTTATTTCTCAGTAGTTTCCTTTCTGAGAAATATGTACTTGGATGTACTGATATAAATAATAATAATAATTCTTGCATTTGGGGACCATGTCTTTCACGTTAGGAGAATGTCTCAAAGCACTTTTATAGTGAAGGATTTTGCTGTAAAGATCTGTATTTTGTAGGCACTCCGAAACTACCCTGTGTGAATGCCGCTACATAAATGTAAATTGTTGTTGTTGAGCGAATTTGCAACTAATTTGCACACAGGATTATCCCACAACAGCCATGAACGTAATAACACATTTTAATTGGGGTAGGAAGCCAAGCAAAACTCTCTTCTCTTTTTATGCAGCAGTATTGGGATCTTTAATGTCCACCTGAATTCCTGGGGGACTTGTACCCCTTAGAGTGGAGGTTAGAAGAAACTTCACGCAGAGGATTATTAAAACATGGAATTGTTTGCCAAGACTGACTGTTGAACCTAAGACCGTAATGACACTCAATGACACTGATATGTATTGAAAGAATAAAATGTACAATGTAAAAAAAANTTTGGAAAGAGCAGGGAGTTGGTATTAATGTACATTGCTGCAGTGGTGTCAGCATAGGCTCAATGAGTTGAATGGCTTTCTGTACTGTAATTTCCATGATATATAATAATAATCCTTGCATTTGATAAGCTAATAATATGGCTCTATTCTTAGATAAAACAGACACTATTCTGGAAACTAGTCACCGTGGGGGTGGTTGGGGATGGGGGGAGAATGCAGCAAGGTGTTTCAGCCTGGTTGGGCGTTAGTTTAACCCCTCATCAAAAGGACAGCCCTCTAACAATGCAGCACATCCCCAATAATGCATTGGAGTATCAGCCAAGACTGTGAGCTCAATGTCCCAAAGTGGGGCTTGAACTTCGATCTCTGACGCAAAAGCAGGAGTGCTGTTAACCTGAGTCAGGCTGATACATATTTTGCCCTTGTACATAATCATGTGAAACTGCAACAAAAATTTCAAATATTTTACATTCGTATAGTGCCTTTCAAATCAGGAGGATGTCTCAAAGCAGCTTTCTCCGGTACTAAACACTCTATCAATGACGTGCCTTTTATTTGAGCTGAAAACATGGGAGCAATCGTCTTTCATGCAATGTTTAATCACTTCTACCTGCACTTTGAATCCTGTTCTTAACAAAATATCCAGCTTTCTAATGATAAAGTGAAACAGGTGTTTGAAAGCTCTATCTGGATATCTGAACAAAAAAATTAATCGAGTTAAATCTATGAAGGCTGTTTCCTTTATGAGTTTGTTCCATGTTATAGCGATTGGAATACTATGTTTGATATACAACATTAGTGTTCACAAACATACTTTGAAGACTCCATTCATGCTGAATCTCATTCCATCAATGCATTGCAAATGTACAAATCAAAAAACCATAGGTGCAATACATTGACTGATACCAGTGGGTCAACAACAACAATTTGTATTTACACAGCCCCCCTAATGCAGGGTAGCGTTTAAACAATAATTGTGCAAAGACACTAGCCTGGCTAGTCAGTAAATTAAAGGCATACTCAGAATAAAACACTATATAAAATAATAATAGAACAATTACCTGTCACAAAAGTTGCATAAAGCAGAACTGCAACAAGGGCTCCCAGTAGACAGTGACTCATCATTGCCAGAAAAAACAGTCAATCACAAGACCACTCTTTGTCTTCTCACTGCCGGTTTTGTTCCGTACCTAAACTGTTAGCTTGATTCTGTACCTATCAACCGTATGAAACTGAACAACTTTTTTTGCCTGTTTTGTGAGCTTGTTTCCTTAAATAACTACAAGAGATGGTTTCTGGTCCATATTAGGAAGTCGCGTCAGTATAGAAACCAGATGCTAGTTCGCCTCTCTTAGAGTTTTGACCATCTGAGAGAAAAAGGAGGCATCTAAGAATTAGCTCCTGGATATGTCTTGATATGTCTTAAAAAAAAAAAGTTTTGCTTACCAAGTTGAAGTCGATAATTGGGCAGAGTTAGTTAAGCCTGGAATCCTGCTGCTCAGTGGTTATAGCGCTCACCTCGAAAGTGAGAGAACCCGGGTTCGATTCCCAGGCAGGTCAAAACCTTAGGCAAGCTTCCTTACTCCAACCCTGCTCTGTTTACCTAGCAATAAGTAGGAACCGGATTGTTAATCAATTAGTGGATCGCTTTCTGGATGTAATAATTCAAAAACAACACTCAATCCACAAATATTTGTGGGACACTGCTATGCACAATTGGCGTTATGCCCACAAATATACGGTCAATTCAATTTACAGTCTATTCTGTGAAGCGCTTTGAGACGTCGAGAAGACGTGAAAAGCACTATATCAAATGCAAGGATTATTATATTTATAGTATAGTTTGTGAAGGGCTTTGGGATATCTCAACGATGTGATAAAGTGCTGTATCAAATGTGAAGATTATTATTATTTAATTGTTTTTGTTAAACAACAATGGGATACATCACACAGGACGGGAATCAAAGTACAGTACAGGTAATTAAAATTGTGCCAACAGGTTCTATACCCAGCAGAGCAAGACAATTTGTCTCAAATATCTGTCATTCATATAATTGTTCCTTGGGTATGAATAATAAGAAGTTTTGAATTATTGTGAGGGAAAGATGTGCCCTACAGATCATGTAAGACACACCCCTGTAGGATCTTATAGCTGAGGAGCAGGAAAGAGGAAAACAGACAAAGCCACGCTGTGTCTGCTCATGAAGATGATAGCAGTGTCATGAAATCATGTTAAAGGTAAGGTTATCCTTATTTGTGGTTTACCTGCAATGTAATGATTATATTCAGTCTGCCCTACCAATTCCCAGTCAAGCTTTTCTGAGGACTTACAAACACGCATTGCTGTCTTTGTAGCTCAAATACCGCAAAGCATACAAAGGGTCAGGAGCAACAGCCTCCAGCCCTCAATTACCCTGCTGCCAATGGCATGTCTCTTGTTACCTTCTTACACTCTCCACTGGGAGGCAGCAGAACCTCTTTTCTTTAGAAGCCTTGCCAATTCACCAATTAGCATTGGCATAAACCAATTGCTTCTATATCTACTTTGGCTACTTTTGCTCTTTGTGCCCTTTAAATGAGCATTGATCCCAGCCTGTGGACTGACCTCAAGCACTTCCTCTACTGTACACATTAAGTTATCTAGTCCAAGATCTCCAGGTTTATTTTCTGTTATTCCCCTGCATCTCCAACCTACTGCTCCTCTCCAGGGTACTGGAATGTAATGCTGCTTTTCAGCCCATTTGATCTTGTCCTTCTACCTTACTGTTACCCCAGTCAAGCATCAAGTTGGTTTTAATAAGTCCAGTCATCACATGAACAAAGGGGAACTTTAGAATAATTTGTTTTTACACAGAGGGCTTTTAGAATGTGGAAGTCTCACCACAAATGGCTTTTGAAGCCAAGTCCTCAACAGCCTCTAAAATGGATTTGGATAATTACTTAAACTAAAATAATAGAGGGGATCAAAGAAAATCCAGGGTGAGATGCGAGTAGATATTTCCAATGGGAGTAGGTGGGGCTCGGGGTGGAGGTAGCAGCAGGACAGATCCAATGACCTGTATGGCCTCTTTCTGTGCTGTAAGAATTGTGGGATTGTAAATCGCTCTAGTCTAGTGTCATAAAAGCTTCTCAGTTATATGGGGTATGAGCCCACAAGAGCCAAACCAAGTCTTAGTAGCCTGACTAGAGCATTACTGGAGGCTTTCAAGATGCTGAAAGGTTTGTGTATAATTTAAGTCTTAAAAAANTGTAATGCTCTAGTCAGGCTACTCCCCGAGTAATAATAATAATGCTTGCATTTGATACAGTGCCTTATTACTTCATTGAAACGTCTCAAACGCTTCACAGAATATACTGTAAAGTGAATTGACTGTATATTTTGTGGCAAAAATATCTCATACAGTTCTGGTTGCTGTGACATAAATGGCTACCCAGGCCCTAGATGCAGTTCAGTGGAGAGCAACAAGGATGATCCCCAGAAGAATGAGCTAAGAAGAATGATTAGACAAGTTAGGGCTCTTCAGTCTTGAGAGATGACTCCTCAGAGAGGACCTTAGAATGATAATAATAATCCTTGCATTAGATATAGCGCCTAATCATGTCAATGAGACGTTTCAAAGCACAGTGTAAGAAAATAAGAACATAGAATTTGCTGACAAAAGAATACCAAGATCCATCTAGTTCACCTTCCACCATCTTGGCAGTCGCTTGACATGTCATGTCGCAAACTATCTACTGTATCCCGAGATATTATTTTCTAGCAGAAATCTATCTCATTCGTTCTTGAAACAAACAACATTTTCTGCTTCCACTGTCTCCTCAGGGAGTCTGCTTCATAGGTTTACTACTCTCTACTGAAGTAGTGTTCCCACAGATTTGTTCTGAATTTACCCCTTTCAATCGCAGGCCGTGTCCTCTGGTTTTACTGTTCAGGATAACGTAACACAGCTTATCGTGGTCTACATGATCTAGTCCCTTCAGAATCTTAACGACTGTAATCATTTCGCCCCTCAACCTTCTTTTCTCCCGTGTGAACCTGCCCAGTTTATCTAATTGTTCCTCGAGGTCCAGTCCCTCCAACCCCTCAATCATGTTAGTTGCCCTCCTCTGTATCTGCTGGAACATCCTTTTTATATTGTGGTAACCAGAACTGCACACAGTATTCCAAGTGCGGTCGCATAAGTGATTTATAAAGTAGCAGCATTACCTCACTATTTCGGCTCATTATTGCCCTTTTACTACAGCCCAGCATCTAGTTTGCCTGACTCACTGCTCCCGAGGGCTGTTGTGATAGCTTCAATTATTGGTAATCAGGATCACCGGATCCTTTTTGTTTTCTGAACAGATTATTTTCTTACCATTTAGATAATAGTCCCATCCTTCTTCCATGCACTTTGCATTTCTCTACATTAAATTTCATCTCTCATCGATCTGCCCAATTCCCCAAATTATCCTGTAACCTATCCTGTTCATCTTTGCAGTCTACTACCTTCGTCTCACAGGATATACTGTAAAGGTGGATGTTCTGGAAGGCTGAGATCAGATAGACCGAACGGCCTTCTACATATGAACTAATCCTCTGTGAGATATCCAGTATAATGCTATCCATTAGATTTATTTAATTCTCTACCATGGCATTCGCCATTACAAATAGAATTGCAGATTTATTTCAAAATATAAAATATTAAGTGTCTTAATCCAATGTGTTTATGTGTAGTTGCGACTGAATTGTAAGTCTGTGCAGTACTCAAAATGTAGTGTGAAAAGATTTGCTGTTGCACCAGAGAGTAGTGAATATATGGAATTCTCTACCCCAGAGGCTGTGGATGCTCAGTCAGTCATTGAACATATTCAAGACAGAGATCAATAGATTTTTAAAAACTAAAGAGATTAAGGGATATGGGGATAGGGCAGGTAAATGGTATTAGGTTAGAAGATCAGCCATGATCTTATTAAATGGCGGGGCACCGGCTCGATGGGCTGAATGGCCTATTCCTGCTCCCATTTCTTATGTTCTTAATACATTTATCAGGCAAGAACTAGCGAGTATGAGATGTCTGCCACTTATATAACTGCTTTAAGTAACAGCTAGTATTACTTTCCCATGAAAATGTATTGCATTTCACAGCTAAATGAAACTTGCCTAAAAATAACACGTGCTCGTTTCAGTTTGATCTGCAGAGTCATTTTGAGGAAACAAGTCATTTGTTAGTAAACTGTGTCAGTGCACTGGCATTACAAATCCAAGGAGAGATGGACTCACGTTGGATCCTGTTGTTCATTCTGCTCACACCCACCTGTGATGCCATTTGGAAGTTTTAGGGAATAGAACCAATTGCTTATGATCCTGATGATTGTTGTAGCCACAAAAGGAGTGTTAATTGGATTAACCCGACTTAGATTTTGCAGTAGTTTCTTCAGTCATTTAGTTATTTTTATTTAGGCAAATGCTGGGAAAGCCCCATCACTATTTTACTAACAGACAACAGGAAATGCAAGAATAACATGGTGGCAGATGTTTAGATGTGAATTAACTGTGAGTTTAATGTAACATTGTTCTATGGTTAAAATTCACAAGCCTGCCATTTAGATTGATCTCTAAACATAGAGACTGGGTGGTATGTATGAACTGGGCAGCTCGGGATGAAAGGAGCAAATAAAGCAAATAACTTCATAAGTGTTTTTCTAATCCTCAAATGAATCAAAACGTAGATCTAGAATCATAGGGCCATAGAAATTATCAGGAAAGGCCATTCAGCTCATAGTGTCTGTGCTGGCTCTGTGTGAGGGCTCTCTGTTTCATCCCACTCCCCTGAGATAGAATCAAAGACATTTACAGTGTAGAAAGAGGCCATTCGGTCCATCGAATCTGTTCTGGCTCTCAGAATAAGCTGTACTTTCATTCCCACTTCCCCCATACTGCTTCAAGCCTGTATTTTTGCATATACCTGAAACCTGTCTAGTTCCCTCATGATACCCACAATTGAGTCTGCCAGATTCTGCCACCTTTCTTGGTATTCTCACATCCGAACAAGTCTCTGTGTGAAAAGATAAGAAGAGATCTGAAATATATATAGAAGTGTTCAACATTCCGTTTCTACCCTTCATTCCAGTAGCTTTGCTATTCTGATCAACTGCTATTAAATTTTGGATGAGTCTTCATTTTGGTCAGCTAAATATAAACCAAACTGTTAACAAAACATCTTGTTCGGTTAATCCCAGCACCAACTTCCCTGACTGCTCATGTT